GGGAAGAGGCTGGGGCCCTGATGGGGGGCTCGTCCCACCCCCTGGGTCCCTCCTGCTGCAGGTGGACCGGAGCTTCGTCAGCTGGTGGAGGGCCTGCCTGGGGGAGATGAAGGCCTGCTTGGTGCGAGGGCTGGCCCTCTGCGTCCTGCTGGGACCTCTGGTGGGTGAGTGGCGCTCTGTCCCTCCTGCTGTCTCCCTGGCCGCTTAGGCAGCTGGTGTGCGGGGCTGTGTGTGTGGGGGGGGGGCCTGCCCTGAGGGGCTCTCCGGAGTGACTGCCCTCCTCTTCCTCTGCAGGAGCCAAGCCAGTGCAGGAGGAGGAGGAGGGAGGTACTGTATTGCCCTCTTGTTCTTTTCTTGTGTGTGTTTGGGTGGCATGGGGTCGGAAGAGGGAGCCGGGTGGGAGCTGGCTTCTTATCCTGAGCAAATGAAGCAGGAACCCTGGGTCAGCTCAAGGACAAGCTATGCAAGCAGAGGGACACGACCCTCTTCCCTGGGCCCTGACCTCCAGCCACCTGGGGACACACAGGGCAAGAGGGTCTCTCTGAGCCCCTGAGGCTTGGCATTCTCACCCTCAGCCTGGACTCACCCCACGACCCTCCTACCCGAGTCCTACCTCAGTGTAGTGGCATCTGGACTTGGGGCTGGGGGCTGTGGTCTCCTCTGAAATCCCACCAGGATGCCCCCACACCCTCCCTGCCCAGCGTCTCCATGACAGGGGCCAGATTTCCCCGTCCCTGGCCTCTCCCTCTCCCCGCCTCCTCTCCCTGAGCTGTTCCCCCAGACAGGAGTCCCGAGAGGGACATCACCCAGATGACAAGGCTCCGGGACACCTCCACGGAGGACCAGGGGTGTCCCAGGTCCCGGCTCCCAGCTGGGAGGGCCCCTTCACTGCCCGCAGCCGCTGTACTGCTAGGCACCATCCACCTGCCCGGCGGCATCACGGAGGGGCAGCTTCAGGGCAGGACCAGTGGGGACAGCGCCTGAGGCCGGCGGCTGTGTCTTTCAGACCCCTATGCAGAGCTGCCTGCCATGCCCTACTGGCCTTTCTCCACCTCTGACTTCTGGAACTACGTGCAGTACTTCCAGACCCTGGGGGCCTACCCCCAACTTGAGGATATGGCCCGCACCTTCTTCGCTCACTTCCCCCTGGGGACCACGCTGGGCTTCCATGTCCCCTACCAGCAGGACTGAGCACCAGCCTGGATCCCTAGCCTCATGCTCAATAAATTCCTGACTTAAGACACACAAATGCTTCTGGTTTTCTTTCAAGAAAGCCCCAGTCAGGCCACGTTTCCTTTCTTATTTGACAAATGAACCACAACTCTCACTCAGGACCTGCCGTACGTGTCACCCTCTTACCTAAGCTCACAGCCCCTCCGGGAGGGGGCTGCTGTAGGTGCCCCGGAGTGCAGGGGGGAAACTGAAGCAAACAGACACCAGGACACTGCCTGGCTTATTGACGGGACCCAGATCCAGGCAGCCACACCCCAAAGCCCCTGCCCTCAGCCACGGAGGCCAGCAGCAGCCGGACCCCCAGTGGCCACCCCTGGGCTGGGGGCGCTGCCCGTCCCTGCTCCCTGCAGTGTACTCCTGAGGGCCGTTCACACCAGCGCAGCAGGAACCTAGCCTGTGAGGAAGGGCCAGGGCCTGGGTGCTCTCTGTCTGTAAGGGGAGGGCCCCTGAAACCTGGGTGCCAGCACGGCAGGCTCAGGGCCTGTGGGGGGAATGGGGCTACCTCCCCTGGGTGCTCTGGAGGGAGGAAAGGCCCTGCAGGCCATGTGCTTGGTGTCTCTGGGACCATCCTGTGGCACTGGGCCGGCTACTGCGCAGGCGGTGAGCCCACCCCACAGGCAAGCGTACAAGCTTACAAGCCCCAGACCCTGCTGGTCACCTTCCACCAGATGAGAGGAAATTGCTCTAATGGGCTATAGCCCGCTTCTCTTTTGAAATAAAATAATGGGAAACACTGAGTATTTAAATATAGGTGGGGAGGAAACTCTCCTAGGCCAGGGCACAGCCACCCAGCCGGGTGCGGAGGGTGCTGGAGGGTGGGAGGTGCCCAGGACAGCAGGACGGCCTCCCGTGGTTGTCCCTCCCACTCCAGCCACGCTTCCTGCCACCACTGCTGGTGCCCCAGGGGACATTCTGCAGAGGAGGCCTGGCCAGTGGCTCTAGGAAAAGCCACTACCTTCTTCATCTCTTTCTTTCCCCACCTTGAGCTCGTGTGAATTTGGCTTCTCTAAACTAACCTCAACAGCACAAAAGTCTGGATTCACAGGATAGCCAGGCGAGAGGATGGGTCTTCAAGTTCCCACTGGGGACAGCTGGACTCGGCCAAACATACCAGACAACAGACACGCTTTACAGTGGGATTTCCATGTTGTTCACTAGCACGTCAATTCGAGTGTGTGCACGGTCACGTTCCCCTCGGACTGTCACGCTGCCCGTTAGGGCGCACATTAAAGAACCATGGCTATACCCCCCTCTCTGCAGGCTGCTGGGGAGGAGCAAGATCCAGGCTCGTTCTGGGGAGGAGCACGTGGTGCCCCGGCCAGACCCCTTCCTCGGGCTCGGGCTCGGGCATCAGCAGCCCACAGCTGCCCCGGGGACACCCAGCTGCATTTACGTTCTTAAAAGGCCTCACTTCTGTCCTTCTCTTCTCAGAGGAAGAACCCCCCCCACCCCGGGGCCACCCTCAGCCAACCCCCTACCTGCTGAGCTCGCAGCCCCTGGGGCATTCCACTCCTGGTCAGGACTCAGACCTGGCTGCGGCCCTCCCTGCTCACCTCAGCACCCAACAGGCTCAGTTCTCCTCTGTGCACCCCCTCCTGACTCCCCCCGCCGCAGGCAGACCTCGTGGGGGGCCCTCCACTTCCTGCCCCGTGCCCTCAGCCCCTCACCCCCAGCGCTGCACCTCTGAGCTCCTCACGAGGAGCAAGCGCCGCCTATGGCCACTGCCTTCTCATTCCTGCCACGTGGCAGGGAATGGGGCTCCCGTGACTTGAGACCACTCAGAAGAGAAGCCTGTTGGTGGCCACAGAGTCGTGGCTTCCCTGGTCTGACTTTCGCTCGGGTACTTCAGGGTGATTCATGTCACCGTGACACCCCAGCCTCTCCTCCCCTCTCCCTAAGCCCTGCACTGCCCCCGTGGGTCACTGTCCCCCTCAGTCTGGGCTCATGCCCTGTCTTCCTGCCCTGACCCCCCACCTCTACTTTGCTCACAGCCCAGCCCCCAAGCCTACCTACTTCCACAAGTCTAGCTCAAGTATCTCATGCTCTCCCTCCCTCCCGCCTTTCCTTCCTTCTCCCTCCCTCCTATACCCTTCTGTCATTCACATTCTTGTAAAAAATTATGATAAAATACATATAACATAAATTTTATTTATTTATTTGACAGAGAGAGAGATAGCGAGAGCAGGAACACAAGCAGGGGGAGTGGGAGAGCGAGAAGCAGGCTTCCCGCGGAGCAGGGAGCCCGATGTGGGGCTCGATCCCAGGACCCTGGGATCATGACCCGAGCCCAAGGCAGCCGCTTAACCGACTGAGCCACCCAGGCGCCCCTGCTGTAACTATTTCTAAGTGGCACCAAGCACATTCACACTGTTGTGCAGCCGTCACCCCTAGAACTTTCTCATCTTCCCCAACTGAATCTCCTTCCCCATGAAACACAGACTCCCCATCGGTCCCCAGCCCCTGGCGCCCGCCCTTCTGCTGTCTCTGTGAATCTGACCACTGTAGGGACCCCGTGTCAGCGGGGTTATACAGGATGTGTGTGACGGCTCATTTCACTCAGCATAAAGTCCTCACGCTTCATCCATGTTGTAGCATCTGTCAGAATTACCCTCCTTTTGCGGCTGGATAGTGTTCCCTTTTATGTACCTATAGAACACATCTCGCTCATCCATTCAGCTGTCCATTCACATGGCTGCTTCTACACTTTAGCTCTTGGGGATAACAGTGCTCTGAACACGGGGGTGCAAATATCTCACGAAGACCCCGCTTCCACTCCCTCTGGGTTTTTATATAGCACCTGTTCTAAGGGGTGTGAGGTGGTTTTGATTTGCATTTCCCCAATGCTTAGTGGTGTTGAGCATGTTTTCATGTGCCTCTTGGCCATTCGTATATCTACTCCAGAGAAAGGTGTATTCAAGTCACTGCGTTTGGATTGGGATTTGTTGTTGTTGAGTTTTAGGCGTTCTCTCTAAATTCTGGATATTAACCCTTTGGTGAGTGTGTATATGTGTGTATATATAGATATGCATATATGCGTGTAATTTGCAAATACCTCCTCCCATTCTGTGGGTTGCCTTTTTACTCCGTGGACCGTTCACATTCTTTTTTGTAAAGTACAGTTGACCTACGCTATCCTATTAGTTTCCGGAGTACAACACAGTGATTTAACAATTGCACACAATCTGTCCCGGTACAAAGTTATTACAGTGTCATCGGCTACAGTCTGCAGGCTGTACTCTTCATCCTCCAGACGATTTCATTATCTTTTTTTTTTTTTTTAAGATTTTATTTATTTATTTGACAGAGAGAGACCGCGAGAGAGGGAACCCAAGCAGGGGGAGTAGGAGAGGAGAAGCAGGCTTCCCGCGGAGCAGGGAGCCCCATGCGGGGCTCGATCCCAGGACCCTGGGATCATGACCCGAGCCCAAGGCAGACGCCCAACGACTGAGCCACCCAGGTGCCCCTATTTCATTATCTTTTTTCCGGAGACATTCACTTCAGAGCTGGAAGTCTGCGCCGCCTCATCCCGCTCCCCTATATGGCCCGCGCCCCACCCCGCCGCTGCGGCTACCCCCAGGCTCTTGCTGCCCACGCACATTCCGTAACGGGCATCTCTTGGGCCCCCCTGCGTGCCAGGCCTTTCGGGCCGAAGTGTCTGTGGCCGCCGGGCACCCCCGAGTCCCTGCGCAGCTTCCCCGCAGCGCCGGCGGGCTGGCGGGCTGGCGGGAGACCGGGCCAGGGGAACCATAGAGTCGGAGGTCCTCCGGCGTCTAGACTCGCCACGGCCGAGCGCGCACCGGAAGAGGCGTCCGGCGGGCCGGAAGTGGGCCGGGAGGCGGGCGGCCCCGCAGGCGAGATGAAGCCGGCGGTCGACGAGATGTTCCCGGAGGGCGCCGGGCCGTACGTGGACCTGGACGAGGTGAGGCGGCGGCCGGGCGGGTCCGTGGCGCCCTCCAGCCGCGCGCCGGGGCCACCTCGGGGCCGGGACGTCGCCGCCGGGGAGCGCGACGGCCGACGGGCTGGCTTGAGCCTGTGCCGGCGACGTGCGGAGCGGGGCGGGCTTTGCGCGGCCTGCGTGCTGCCAGGGGCCTGGAGTCCGTCTTCCGCGGGGGCGGCGCGGCTGAGCGAGGCCGGGGGCGGCCGCGGGCCCGGGGCTGGGCGGGGCGGAGGGCTCGGCCTCCGCGGCGACATGCGGGGCCAGCGGGTGGCCTCGCGGCGTCGTCCCCCCGCGTCGTGGCCGCCGGGCGGTCTCGGCCCACGTCGGCGTTCCGAGCTGGCGGCTCCCAGCCCAGCCCCGGTGCCGGGCCTCCCGCCCTCTCCCGAAGCCTGGGGGCCAGACCTTGTGTCCGTGCTCCCGGGGGTCGGGGAGCGGCCGGGAGAGGCGGCCTGCAGAGGCCGCGTGCGCGAAGTTGGAGGCGCCCGACGGAAGCGCCCCCCCGGCTGTGCGCGGGCCCCGCGCAGGCTTCGGAGGGAGGGCCGCCGACGGCGCCGAGGGGACCGGCCGGGGAGGAGCGGAGTGTGAAGGGCGGGCGGGTCCTGCAGGTGCCCGAGCCCGGGGCGAGAGCAGCCGGCGGGGGGCGAAGCGTCAAGGGCCGGAGCCGTGCTGGGGCAGGCGGCCTCTGCACCCCGCCTCCGCGTTCTTCGGCGGTCCTCTGCCCGAGGGGCGCGGAGGGGGCGAAAGGCTTCCTGGCCGGTCCCTCTGGGGCTGGGCACTGGGTTTGGGGTGAGAGTGGGCTGCTGCTCGCAGGAGCCTTGGGGAGGGTCCGGGAGGAGGGAGCGCCTGCGGCGGAAGTGGGGGCAGACCGGGCGCAGTCGCGAGCGCTGGCCTCTGCACGGCTTGCCGCGGTCGCGGGGAGGGGGGGCGGCTTGAGAAGAGAGGGGCCCGGGCGGCCGCAGGGACCTGTGGGCGGAGGGCTCTGCTCCGGCCACGCTGTGGGACTCTCACAGACACCCCAAATCTTTTTCTTTTTTCTAAAGATTGTGTTTGTTTATTTGAGAGAGAGAATGAGAGACAGCACGAGAGGGAAGCGGGTCAGAGGGAGAAGCAGAGCCCCCGCCGAGCAGGGAGCCCGGCGCGGGACTCGATCCCGGGACTCCGGGATCATGACCTGGAAGGCAGTCGCTCAACCGACTGAGCCACCCGGGCGCCCCCAGACGCCCCAAGTCTTGAACGCGTCGGACTGCCCGGCTTCGGGTGTCGCATAGTTTCACCGCCACCGTAAGCTGTGGCAGTGGGAGGTGCTGTGATGACACCCCCACAGAGCCCCGGGTCAGTCGGGCACTTTCGAGGAAAACGGCGTAATTCCCAGAAGAAGCAGGGGGCAGTCCAGAGTAGAGAAATCGTTGGCGCAGTTTTGCACACGTTTGGGGCCCCTGTGGCAGCGCCTTACAGGGAATTGGAACCTCGCTCGGGGCTTACAGAGAAGTGGTGTTCAGGGCAGCAGCAGGATTCTGTTCAAAAAGCAGGAGGAATCAAGGCAGGTAAGACCCAAGGAGACCTTAGGAATAATTCCTTGGAACGCCGCCTCTCCCATCCGCTTCCTTTGCCTAAAACTAAATTTTGACCCCAACCTGGGCGCCTTTCCATCCCTCGCCTTCCTCTGCCGAGGAGTGGTGTGGGCCCTGTAAGGCGCTGTCCCCGTTCTCCCGGAAAGCAGCACTGACACCACGTCACCGTTCCCTTCCCAGGCCGGAGGCAGCACGGGGCTCCTGATGGACTTGGCAGCCAACGAGAAGGCAGTTCACGCAGACTTTTTTAATGGTAAGGATGCTGGGACCGGGATTCCAGTTTTAGTCTGAGTGTTTCTTTTGTGTGCTACACGGTGGAAGACTGTGGCGTGACTGACTGGGGCCATAGAACAGGAAAGCCAGATGCGTGCCATTCGCGTGCCATCCGCAGCGCGCAGGGCAGTTCGTACAAAACAACAGCACGGGCTGTTAACGCTGGCGGTCAGCCCTGTTTCACGAGACAAAATGGTGTAAAATGGCTCCCAGTCTTGCATTCCAGCAGTTGAGCTTGAGCTGTGGCCGTGCTTTTGTCCCACTGAACCTGTCGCAGGGGCTGGTCTGTTGCTCGTGGCCCGAGACGGGTGTGGAACCCCGCCGGGCTTTCTCATCTCTTCTGTCAGGAGGCGGCTGGTTTTCCTGCCTTTGCTGTGTGCTGCCGGGTTCTGGTCTCTTGGCTCCCTTCGCAGTGACAACCAGCTTTCCCCGCCCTTTTCTCTGAAAGCAGGACTCGTACTGGAGAGCTTTCGTGCTGCTTCCCAAGAACATGGATGGTAAGCAGGGAAAAACCAAGTTGTGCGACATCTTCCCACAGGCTACAGGGCTATTTCTCTTGCTGTCTTCTGATTTCCTGAGGCCTTGTTCCTATGGATTATATTCTTACTAAGCGTTCAAATCATGAGCGGGAATGCAAGACAGGTCTTGTTAGGAGACTCTGTCATCCTTCTCTCGTCCACAGTGCCTGCCACTACAAAGAATTGTCGCTAGTTGGTGGCAGCTGGGATGCTACAAGGCCACACTACCGGGTTTGATGTACCAGATCCCCCCTGGAGCCCGAGTCCATGTTATCTTATCTGGCATCTTTTCGGCAAGTTGTTGCCTAAAAAGAGAAGCCAGGCTGCTTAATTAGGTGCCTTCTTCCCAGGGAGGCTGGCCACTCTACTGAGGCGACATCTGGGCTGCCACCGGCCTTGAGGATGGGGACAGCCTTTCCCTAAGGTCTCCAGAGCCGCCATGTGAAAGCCCTCACTCATGTGGGGTGACCTTGGGGGGCCCTCACCCCAGCAGGGCAGGGTGATATCTAACACCACCTAACCCGCTCCCACATGCGATGATCTTCAACGTCCCATGCATCCTCTGGATTTACAGACTGTTGGCCGTGTTCTAGTGTTTGAGTTCATGTGGTTTCTGAAAATAGGGCATCTGGGAGGGACCTGGGCTGCCCTGCCGAGGGAGTGTGAGCAACATGAGCAGTGGAGGGCCTTCCTCCCTCTGGGTCGGGGCTGGAAAGGGAAAGAACACAGAAGAGCGTGCTGCACTGGTCTGCCCACCGACAGAGTTCATGAGGGGCGTGCCGCCCCATCAGGTTGTGGCAGCCCCGCGGGTTCAGAAAGCCACTTGCTGTGAGAAAGCCCTGAGTGCTTTGGACAGAGTTTCTCCTGAGTCCTACTTGCTCACGGAGCAGAGCTTCTGATCTCTGGTCCCCTGGGCACTGGGGTTCAGACCATGAACAAGGCTTGCTCTCTTCACTCACTGTGTTTGATAAAGTAGGGGAGCGTTAGACAAGGCAGCACGCAGGGACAGCCATGGCGAGAGCCCTGGCAGAGGTGGGTGGCCTTGTTTCTAGGAGCACATCAGAGGGCAGTGTCTTGGGGGAGGGGGTGATACCTCAGGGGTTGGGGGGGTGTGAGGAGTTAGCTGGGGCTGGGGGCTGGGGGAGAAAGTGCACAGAGCTGTAGGACCACAGGCCAGCCCCAGCCCCGCTGTGGTGGGACCACCCACGTCAGTGCTGAGCAGAGGTGGTTGGGACACCGCCCTCCCTGACGGCCTGTGACAGCATGTGGAGACGCCCCCGGGGCCTTCCACTCACCTCCTTCCAGCTCACTGTTTATCCTGCACAGTTTGAACTCATGGGACTATGAATAGACCCTCAGTTTTCCTTTCCCCATCATGAGAGCAGGGCATGCCTGTGGTAGACGGTTTAGGAGAGCCATAGACAAATAAATAGAAGGGCACAGTGACCCTGACTGCCACCCATCCCAGTAAATAGCATGCTGTGAGTGTGTGGCCCTTCTTCCAGTGGGAAGGGCTCGGACTGTCTCAAGCATGACCACCGGTTGGACTCCCTTAAAGACAGCCATTCTTGCATGGCCCAGTTCTTCTAGCACCTTCCTCCCACCTGCCCTCTGCATTCTCGTGCTTGCATGGAGTCTTGTGCCTGCCAGCCTTCTGGCTGTGTCACCTCCACCTCCATGCATTTTCTGAAGATTGTCACCTAAATAGAAGATTAAAGTTACCTTCTACACCACTCTGTCCCTTTGGATGATATGACCTCTGTTGGATAAAATCGAGTCTGTCGTGGGAAAAAGTCCTTTATTTAGATTGTTTACTGCTTTTTCTCTATTTTGAATGACTGTGTAATTCATATTTTGAAGTTATTTTCTCAGTTGTTTACCTTGTGTGCCCCATTAATATGTGGTTTTGTTCGTTTACGTAGATTTTGAAGATCTGTTTGATGATGATGATATCCAGTGAGACGCCGTCCAACGGTGCGTGTGGTCATGTGTGTTACGAGGTGGTGTGGCGGAGTTCCTCAGAGGACAATTTCAGATGGTCCTAAAGAACTCGTGGATGTTACTTGAAATTAGGAGATGGTTAACCAAGAAAGAGAAGGATGGTTTTAACTATCTGCATGAGGCCCGCTTATCTCTGAATGTGAACAATTTTTGTCCTTCAATTAAAAAGCGATGCCATCATTTGCAGGGTAATTTTAATTCTTGGATTTTCGAGCAAATATTACAATGCCTAAAAGCCTCTGTGCATACGTGTGGGTGCATGTGTGTGTTGACATAGTGAGTGAAACACGTTTGTCAGCTTACAAGTACACTGCTTTTTTTCCTGAACTCAGTATTGAGTAATCATGAGGCTCACAGCCTGCGAAGTGGTGTTCGTATTAGATCACTAAGCAGTGCTGCGTGTATAGGGGGCCCTCCTCGTGGCACTCTGTTAAGACCTTACTGTAGTGGGCAGGTGCTCATGGCACGTTTCCCCCACCACGTCGGGCCTGGCGTCACCTGTGTAAGCCCCAGAGCAGCTGCTGTCCCGAGACCTGAGGCTTGAAGACTCAGGACAGCTAGACAATGACCCTGACAGGTGCCCTCCTCTTGAGAAATGTGTATGTTGTGTCGTTCCAAAGGGAATGTAACATGGAAGGGAAAAAAGGTGTTTTTGTCTTTCTCCTTGGCCCAGCTCAGCAATAGGTAATGGCTGTAAAAATTAAGATTCCTATTTCGCGTCGATCTCAAAGCGCAGAGTGTTTCTTCAACCAGGAAACGCCCATGCCACAGGACTGCCGCAGTCCCCGTATTTTAGAGTTAAGCAGGGCACATGCCGACCTCCCCCGGGAGAACACGCTGAACAGCATCACCCCTGATGGCCTGAAGACAGATGAAGTCCGAAACTGGAGGAGACCTCACCTCTGCTGTGTTCTTGGGAGTGGTGTGCGGGTTTCCAGGCCGTCATTCGGACAGTGCTCCTGCCCTGAGAGCATGACAGCCGAGGCCCTGGGAGGACTAGTGTGGCAAGCTTCCCTGGCCCGGAGCGAGAGCAGGGTCACAGCCTACCGTCCCTGCCAAGATGGGACAGACGTGCTCTGTGGTGTCGGAAGCCCCTTCCTCTGAGGCTCGGCCCCAGGGCTGGGGCTTGGGGCTGCCTCTGTGTCAAAGACTCAGAGGGACAGGCTTCCCCGCAGGTGAGCTGCGTGCTGTCTGCGTTCTGAGAGCGACTTTCTCAGGTTTAGTTTAATTCACGTTTTTACGTGGGTTAAAGTGGGTTTAACCCACGTAAAAGTGTCCTAGTGGGTTCCCCAGAACAGGCCCCAGGTGTCTGTGGGGATCACCAGTATTGGGGTGAATTCTTTGGTGGTTACCCTACAGTCCTCGTCCATTGAGGTTTACAACAGAGTCCCGCGAGGCTTGTGCTGCACTGTGTTGGGGCCGGCCTTGGCTCAGCCCTGCAGTGACCCCGCAGCGACCCATGTGTCATGGGTCACCGAGGAGCTGTGGGCCCTACCCAGACACCTCGCTTCTTGGGCCTCCGTTCCTCATCGGCAGACAAGGCCCTCAGTCCCTGAGGTGCCCCCTGGTTCTTGGATCACGGTTTTTCAGCAGGAGGGAGTGACTGAGGTGAAGCAAGGAGAATGACGCACAGGAATTCGATGGCACAGTGGGCCCCAGTGAGGAGCTGGCGTGAGGACCCCACAGGGCTCTGTGTGGGCCTTAGAATTCCAGACTAGTCTGGTCCAGGCAGCTCTGTGGATGGTAATCACGTGTGTGTCGCACGCGGTGAGACCTGGTTAAACATTTGAGCTGTAGACCACCCTTTGCCTTCACAGAGTCTGCAGCTTCTTGGGACTGTGAGGCCCAGAGACGGAATTTGCATCCTTCCCCTCGCTCACCTCGCTATGCCTTGGCCAGCCCCATCAGGGAGTGGCGAGTCCATTAGGGGACACATAGCAGCTTCCGCTTACTTTTGTGCCTGTGCTGACTCCTTTGGCAAAACTCTTGCCGTTGTTAGTAGTGTATTTTTTATTGATAGTGACAAAAACACACTTATTCTTGCTTCTTATACCTAATTGCCTTGATCACAGGGACGTGTGTGCCCATCTCTGCCACATTGAGAAATGCTGTGTAAGTTACGCCACAGCTGACCCCAGGCCCGGCTGCCAGCCGAGTTGTGGGACGTGAGAAGGTGGGGCACAGCTGGGCTGGAATGGCTGCTGGCTCCTTGGAGAACTGGCTGAGGGTGAGGAAGACCTCTGGAAGCCTGGAGAAGACTCTTCAGTGAGGACGGGAGGGAGCTTTTGCACCAGCGCCCTTGAGAGGGAGCAGGGATTTGTTGGCAGGCTGGAAGGATGGGCGAGCAGAGGACAGCTGCCCTGGGCTCCGGGACCCTGGACAAGGCCACCTCCTGGGTTCCTCTGCCATGGGCTTCTTTGGCCAGGTAGAAACAGGGTTCTGACGGTGCTGGCTGTTCCTGTCCCGGTGTCCTCCCTCCTGGTGGTTGTGTCCCTGAGAAGGCCTCCAGTTGGTGCACCCACCCTTGGTCCCACCCCCTGGGACGACTCAAACCCCTGCAGTTGGGGAAGCACCTTTCTACAAAGGGGAAGGCGTCTAAGGGTTGGCCATCACCCCATGGCTGTAATGGGATCTTTGGAGAATATTCTGCTAACGTTAACTGGGAATCCTTGGGATCTAAAGCTACTGGTTCTTGGATGTGAGGACGCTAACACGAGGGAGCCCTTTCCAGACCTTGTGACCAACCGTGTGGGTGTGGGGCTTGGGAAGCAACTGGACAGTAAGATTGTGTCCATGTCTCCCACTGTTGCAGGACTGCAGTCAGTGCCTCTGAAGGGACTGTCTCCTTTCCTGGCCCTCAGTGTCTCCTGGGCAGGGACAGCGTTTGCCCCACGCCAGACTTGGTCTTTATCAGGACTCTGGATACCGCCAGGGTGGGGGCAGGCCTCTGAGCTCCTGCACAAACACCAAACAGCTGGGCTAAGCGCGCTTCCAAAACAAGTCACATTTTTTAAAAAGCAGCATAAGTGATTTTAGAAATCTTACTGCTGTGAATTCTGCCTGGAGCCAGAATGAGAAGGTGCTGAGGAGAGGTGCTCAGATAAAAAGGCCCCTTGTTTCTCAAGAAGCTGAAGACGGACACTGAGGAGCAGTCACAGAAGCAAGGCCTCGGCCAAGGGCAAAGGTGACTGAAACCCCCCCCGCCCCGTCACGCTCTGCTTTTGCTCCCTCCCAGGCACAGTCTCAAGGGGAATGAGCAGCTTGCCCGCAAGCACCTCGAGGCCTTGTCTTCACCTCCTGCATCCAGCTCAGGTCAGCACGGGAGGTCAGCCACGCTGTGAGATCTGCAGGTGCCCATTGTGTTGTGTGAATCATCGTTACCCCTGACGAGTCAGAAAATGAGCTACTCATAGGTATGGCTCTGATGGCTTTTTTTTTTTTTTTTTTTTAAAGATTTACTTATTTATTTATTTGAGAGAGAGAGAATGAGAGAGAGCAAGCACATGAGAGTGGGGAGGGTCAGAGGGAGAAGCAGACTCCCTGCTGAGCAGGGAGCCCGATGCAGGACTCGATCCAGGGACTCCAGGATCATGACCTGAGCCGAAGGCAGTCGCCCAACCAACTGAGCCACCCAGGCGCCCTGGCTCTGATGGCTTTTTATCACTTGTGTAATTTTGGGGAGGGCATGTGATTCCCTGGGAATGGCAAGTGCCCTGCAGTCCAATACGATTATCCCTTGAGGAGGGGCGGCGGCAGGGATGTCCAGGCAGTCCCCTGACCTGAGGATGACTGTGCACTAGAGGGACAACTTATAACCAAGCAGTGGCTGCCACACAGTAGGTGCTCAATAAATGTCTGTTAGATGTAAATAAATGGCACCAGTTTGCATTCCCACCAACAGCACACGAGGGTTCCTTGTTCTCCACATCCTTGCCAGCACCTGTTGTTTCTTGTGTTGTTGATTCTAGCCATCCTGACAGGTGTGAGGTGGTATCTCATGGTTTTGATTTGCATTTTCCTGACGATCAGTGATGTTGAGCATCTTTCCACGTGTCTGTTGGCTATCTGGATGTCTTCTTTGGAGAAATGTCTGTTCACATCCTCTGTGCTGCTTTAATCAGATGATTTGGGGATTTCTGGTGTTGTACAAGTTCTTTATATATTTTGGATACTAACCCTTTATTAGATAATGTCATTTGTAAATAGCTTCTCCCATTCAGTAGGCTGCCCTTTTCATTTTGTTGACAGTTTCTTCCACTGTGCAAAAGCTTTTTATTTTGATGAAGTCCCAGTAGTTTATTTTTGCTTTTATTTCTCTTGCTTCAGGAGACACATCTAGAAAGAAGTTGCTATGTCCAATGTTGGAGAAATCACTGCTTGTCCTCCTACTAGGAGTTTTATGGTTTCCTGCCCCACATTTAGGTCTTTCATCCATTCTGGTTTTGTTTTTTGTGTATGGTGTGAGAAGATGAGAAGGTGGCCCAGTGTCATTCTTTTGCATGTAGCTGTCCAGTTTTCCCAGCACCATTTGCTGAAGAGACTGTCTTTTCCCCATTGCATATTCTTTCCTGTTTGGTCCGAGATTAGTTGGCCAAATAAGCAAGGGTTTATTTCTGGGCTCTTTTCAGTTCCATTGATCAATGTGTCTATTTTGGTGCCAGTACCATATTGTTTTGATGACTACAGCTTTTTTTTAAAAATCTTATTTATTTATTTGAGGGAGAGAGAACACAAGCAGAGGGGAGCGGCAGAGGGAGAAGGAGAAGCAGACTCCCCACTGAGCAGGGAGCCCAATGCAGGACTCAATCCCAGGACCCTGGGATCATGACCTGAGCTGAAGGCAGACACTTAACTAATTGAGCCACCCAGGTGTCCCATGACTATAGTTTTGTAGCAGTGTTGAAATTTGGGATTGTGATGCCTCTGGCTTTGTTCTTTCTCAAGAAAGAACAGCTTTGGCTGTTCAGAGTCTTTTGTGGTTCCATACAAATTTTAGTAATATTTATTTTAGTTCTGTGAGAAATGATCCAGTAATTCCACTACTGGGTATTTACTCAAAGAAAATGAAAACACTAAGTTGAAAAGATAATATGTACCCCATGTTTATTGCAGCATTGTTTACGTTGTGCACCTGAAACTAATGTGACATCATGTGTCAACTACACTCAAAAAAAGAAAACAATAAATCTAAACAAATAATAGTGTATTTGATATGCAAGGGACTTTGAAAATAGCCAAGTCCTGGGGCCTGCTGGAGAGGGGAGAGAGGCAGCCTGGAAAGGTTCTGTGCCCCGGCCAGCATCCACACTGCAGCACCTCATGAGCCTCCAGCGCACCTCAGGGCGGGGGCATGGCTACAGGCACAGCCAGACATGGAGCGTGGGGAGAGGCTGGGAAACCTGCATTCCCATTGGTCTTCAAGTCACACCTGTCTAGAGGGAGGCTGCTCTGACAGACCCCTGACCCCCCAGAGTCCTGGTGGTGGGATGGGCCAGACCTCACCTGGACCAAACAGGCCCAGCCAAATGAAACTGCTGCCCCCTCGCCTCCAGAAATGTGCAGGCTATGCTGACCTTGCCTGGAAATGGGCAGAGGCTTCGAGGGTCCTGTGTGAGACTCTAGGCCTTGGATTCCTGGTGCTGGGGTGCATGCCTGCACTTTGCAGGGAGCTCCCCATTCCTGCTCTGGGGGTGACAGGCCACGTGGCAGCCCTCCCTGCTGCCCACCCCCACCCAGTTCATTAGATCATTAGACGGGGGTGGATCATGGCCCAGAGGCTGCCCAGAGAGAAGACAGACCCCATGGCCATTGGGGCCCCAGAGCTGAGCTGCAAGGCTGTGGACTCGGATGTCGGTGGGGCCAGTCCCAGCCGTGTGTGAGATGCGTGACAGAGGAAACCAGGCCTCAGGCAGGGGGGACAAGTAACTGAGCAGCCGTGCTGACAGAGCAGCATGGGTCTTCCAGGCCTGAGGATTTCCGGCCCTGCAGGCCCAAGACTCCAAGAGATGGGGTCCTCACGTCAGCCCCAGGTGACCTCCTAGACTTGGGGCCCCGGGGCCCCTTGGGATGAGACCATTGTGTGAACACATCCCAGTATGAGGGCTGCCTGCCACACAACCCATGGGGGACAGGGGACCTGAGCATGTGCTCCACATGCTGCCTGGTCAGGAGACAGGCAGATGGAGCACATGAGGCAGTGTCACCAGGCTCCCAGAGCTGCTCGTCCCCTGGGTGGTCCTGGGACAACTGCAGTCTCTCTGTGCCTGAGCCTGTGAAGGAGGGGTGCTGAGTGCACGTGACCCCAAGTTACACCCAGGACAGCCCCCTGCGCAGGTGGCAGTGCAAGCTACTAGTGCTGTGAGGACATTCGTGGGCCATAGGCATGCTGCGTTCTCTGTCCTTGGCTCCCCCCTCTTTCCTGAGTCCCTGAGTTCCTGTACTTGTAGTCACCGTCTGCCCACTGCACACAGGGATTCACCCCAGGTCCCGCAGCTCTCAGGAGGCACCAGACCCTGGTCCTTGGGCTCTGACTGTATTCTCTCTCCCCAGAGATCATAGACAAGGCCAGGAGACAGATGGTGAATTTGGAAGGAGCCGCAGGAACTGTACATCACAAAGGGCTGAAGTGCTAGTAATTTACCAATGTAGGGTACTTGTGCAAAATGGCAGATGAAGCCACGCATCAGACAATGATGGGCACGGGGAACCCAGAAGACAATTCACAGAACCAACAGCCAGTGGCAGTAAATAGTTAAAGGTACTCAAAGTGTCCCGAAGTGGCAAAATGTCAGTTAAGGCAACAAGACATCACTTTGCTCGCTAGAGGGGCAAACATTTAAAAAAATTTTTATTTTTACTTGAAGTATAGTTGACATGGGATATCAGTGTCGGGTGTACGACATAGTGATCAGACAGTTCTATCCATGACTCAGTGCTTGCCACGTGACTGTGGTCCCCATCTGTCCCCACACAATGTGACAACAGTATCATTGGCCACATTCCCGATGCTGCACTTTCCATCCCTGTGACTTACTATTTTATAACCGGAAGTTTGTGCCTCTTCATCCCCTCCCCTATTCTGTCCACCCCCATCCCGCCCCTCTGGAAACCACCAGTTTGTTCTCTGTAGGTCTGATTCTGCTTTTTGTTTGTTTATTCATTTATTTTTTTGGATTTCACATAAATAAGTGAAATCATATGGTAGTTGTCTTTCTCTGACTTGTTTCACTTAGCATGATACCCTCTAGCTTCATCCAGGCCATTGCAAATAGCAAGATCTCATTCTTTTGTATGGCTGAGTGATATTCCATTGTGTTTGTGTGTGTGTGTGTGTGTGTGTGTGTGTGTGTGTGTGTGTGTGTGTGAGACTGTGTATGAGGAAAAGGTGAGGTGTAGAGAGGTAGGTGCTCTTATTTGACACATTTATACCTGTTCATCTACTATATGGAATTTACCTTTTGTTGTGTGTGTGTGCAGATGTGTATTTTGAGGGAGGATATATATGCGGTGTGTGCCTGTCCATATACAGTTCAACACACCTCCTCCTATGCACCCACCTCAGCCCATGGCTGTGATGATACACCTGGTACATGCTCACATATGTGTGTGGGTGTGAGTATGTCACAGAAGGTGGAACTCACAGCCCCATGGGGCAGGACAGTAAGTGAAGAGCCTGTGAAAACTGTGAGGGCAGGTGCTGGGGCAGATGTAGGCCCCACTGTGTAGGGAGCCCTTGAGGTGAGCCCCGGATGGTGAGTAGGAGAGGGAGCATCAGGACAGAGGAGAGGAGAGTGGCTCAGATATGTGCAGGGTCCAGAGGCAGGAGGGCAGGTGGCCAGTGGCGTGGCCATGGGGGTAGGGGCGGGGGTCCCCAGCAGCACTGGGGGTGCCGGGGTGGAGGGCAGCACTCAGATGGCTTTCTTCTTGTCTCCTGGATCTGCCCCAAGTTGGGGTCCCACTCCAGCTTCTTTGGCTCCATGGTTTCCAGCTAAAGCAGAGAAGGAAGTTCCAACCTTCAAGGTCAAGCACATTAAGTGATTTCATGGATGAGTCCCTGGAGCTTGGAGAAGTTATCGGCATCAGGGCCCGGCCGAGACCTGCAGATGGGTGGGAGTTGTCTGTGGAAAACGGTGTGCCAGGCTCTGCCAGGCATGGCGCCTGTGTCTTCATCTGGAGTCTGCCCTGCACAGCGGTGTTAGCTGCCCAGCGGGGACTTCGTCCATGCTGGGGCAGGACAGAGATGTTTGCACAATTGGAAAGTCACTTGTGGGTTGGGAGATCGAGGCTTCCTATTGGAAGGGACTTGCGTGGGACTCAGGATGATTGGTCCTAGCCGGCCGTCTTTGGATGGTTTTATTGGTTTTGTTCTGTTTGGTTTTTCTTTTTATTCTTTCAACTTTAAATTTTGTTTTGC